GGTGTTGCACGGAAGTGAATCTAGGGCTGATTTTGGCGCATAAGATCACTACGGTATCTTTTCTTGTTTTCCATCATTTATCAATATGAAATTATTCTGTTCCATAGTACACTTATTTTGTATCTCTTTGCAACCAGAGAGATCCATTAATCAAAGATTTGTCATGCTTTTTTTCTACAGGATCAGTTTTCCATTAGTAATTCAGGTCAGGCATGCACCCTTTGTCTAAACGCTATCATCTACTTTTATTGTTCTAACTCTTTTCTAGATACTCATGTGAGAAGAAAAAAGTGTTTACAAGAATCACATTTTAAGAGTCTCTTACCGTGTTATGCAAGCTCTAGTATGAAACCCCAATCACCAATACAATACACAAATATTTTAGTTTTTGTTAAAATGAAGAAAATTTTAGCACAATAACTAATCATGATATTATGAATAGAGTATCACAATGTTTTTTCTACTACTTAACTCTGAACAATTAATTAGAGTTTATTTGGCTCAATTTAAATCTACTCTTCTGATTCGCAAGGGTTTGTAATTTTTTTATTTTTATTTTTTTGCCTAATTAATTGAAAACAAGCCCTTGTATATAGGGCCTTGGATTCATAGAACAAAATATGTGACCAATTCACTCCTTTACACCACCTAAGTTTGCATATAAAAATGCATCATATTTTTTGCTATTATTGTTGTCTACAACAAAAAGTATGACAATCACAAACATCTTCTTTTTCAACCCTGAACCACTAAATTCAAGGCAAATTTGAATACCATGCTCTTGATATTTCATCATCATGCCAACACTTGTGATTTGACTTGGGTAGAACCCCAATAGATGTCCCTGAAATACAGGATAGCATGTTCCTTATATGTGCCATGCATAAGATGACAAACATACAGAACAGAAAATTAAAATTTAACAAAATTCATATTGTTGTATCTGGCTGCATTCTCTGAATCTGCACATTATTATATGACTGAAACAGAGTTTCGAGATTCATCTAAAAGAAATTCACACCACACTATTAAATCTTGCAGAAGTCAATCATCTTTTACATAGGCATGCCATAAAGAAAAACAAGAGTATTTATTAAAAACAGGCATGCAGAAGGGAATACCAATAAAAAATGGTTAGATATATGGAAAATGTATAATTGGAATTGATTCATGGAGTCAAGAGGAATTGAGTTTTGGTGCGAAAGATTAATTGTCAAAGAATATGTTGTTCAATAAGGTTAAGTATTACTTTAGGATGTGAAATACATAAGAAAATTTTTTATTTTAAAATTTATAATAAATAAATATTTTAAAGATATAAATTATATTATAATTTAAATTTATAATAAATAGTTATATTCTAAAGTAATGTTAAATAATTTATTATTTTTAATTATTGATATTTCTCACAAATAAATGTAGAAATTTAATTTAGAAATAGAAACAAAAATGATAAATTAAAATAAACAAAACGTTAAGACAATTTTTAAAAACGTTTTTGTTGGATAAAAAAAATAGCTAAACACGGTTTCGTTGAAAAATATTTTATAAGAACATATATGAAGGGCTAAGTTGATTATAGAGAATATAATTGAATAATTAAGGATGTGTTTAGTAAAATTAGTTTATAAGTTAATTGAATATTTTACGATTCTCAATTCAAAACTTATAAGTTAATAGCTGAAAAATTAAAATTTTATAAATTAACCAATTGAATTGAAAATATTTGATAAAATAAGTTAATAAATTAATTTATTAATATAAAATAATATATTTATTCATTTATTAATCAGAATTGAAGTATAGCACATGCAAGCATAATAATTTCTTTGAAAAGGGTAAAAGGAAGGTTTTAAATAAATTAATAAGGATAAAAAAAATAATAAGAACTTGTAAGATATAAGCTACTTCAATTAGCTTATATAAATAAGTTATGAGTTCCTAAAATAAATTTTTTTTATAAAATAAACTATTATTTTGATCAAAATAGTTTATAAGCTTATTGAATGAATTTATAAATTCTTTAAATGTTTTATCAAACACACTCTAAGTTGATTTCAAAGCTATTATATGAAGAGCTTAGAATTGACTATTAATTACATGAGAATACAATCAACAAGGTTAATCATAGTTTGTAGGTAACTAAATTCATTAAATATGCTAATATCAATTCAATTTCATAATTGTGTGCATGGAGAAAATTTTGTTAGGAGAGACAAACTCGCTTTAGTGATCATTATATCTTGAAAGGAGTTAGTCTTGAAATATGATTTTTTTGTGCTAACAAAAAAAATGTTTAAAGCGAAAATTATTATTTTAGCCACTTTCAATTTTTCACTATCAGATATAATATTAGTGACTATAACAATAATTTTCAAAATTAGAAAAATTGAAAAGATAATTAAATTTGAGAGACTAAAATAATAATTTTTTATATTTTAGAGCCTAAAAACTTCAATTTTAAATTTAGGAAACAATAAATAAATATATATATATATATATATATATATAATTTAGAGGACTAAAACATAATTAAGAGAAGAAAAAAATATTAGAGTACGAGACTAATGGCTAAATAAAATTGAAAGTGTAAAATTATATTAGTGGAAATGTTTTCCTTTACACCTGAAATTGGGCTTTCAATCTTGGGCATGAAACGGTGTTAGATAGCCCAATTCTGAACGATTACTTTTTTTTTTCTCTCTAAAACAAAGGTTACTTGAGTCCTTTTGTGCTCATTGAATTGCAGATAATTTAGCTTCATGATATATACATTTCTTCTTTTTTTTTTTATAAGTACACCTCCTTTTTTAAAAAAAAAATTATAAAAAATTATAATTTTTTTTAAAAAAAATTAATTTTACACTTTCAACTTTCAATTTGTTACTTTCTTCTTCTTAATCACACACTTTCTTTTTTCTCTTTCAATTTTCACATGTTACCAAAATAGGTGAGGTGAAGGAAAAATAAGGAAGTGAATGTAAAAATTGAAAAAAGAAGGAATGATATGTGAAAAAAAGTACTAAATTAAATGTTGTAGATGTAAAATTAAAAAAATTAAAAATTAAAAATTAAAAATATTTTAAAAATTTAATTATTTTTTTAAAAGAAGGTGTACTTATAGAAAAAAGGAGATGTATATATCATGAACCGATAATTTATCGACAAATGCTAAAAAATCTCACTTATGGTTTCTCAGGGCCCATATTAAAATACATTATCATTAGATATGCAGATTTATTGGCTGAAAATAAACTAGGATCATATCACTATCTTTTGTAGAACACACTTCTGCTAAACAAAGATTTTATATGTAATGCACCGACTTGCTCATTTTATATAAAGAGTGTAAGTATTATTTAATAAATTCTTATCAAACAATAACCTTTTTATAAATATAATACGAAATTAACCAAAATATTTTTTTTTTTTAAATTATGAAAGTCAAATTATTTTGACTAGTTTAATAAGTTCTCACGTTGAATAGTATTTTGAGAGAAAAATTTTATGAATTGTTATACAATTGCGTTAAGAACGTGAAGAATTGGGAGGAAAGAGTTAGGTGTTATTGATTAACTTTGAAAGAAAAAATATTTCCTTTTTCAAAGTTAAGCACATAGAAAATTTAATACAAAATTGTTTTGAAGGGAGATTGATGGTGATCAAGATTTCTTCTTCGTATACGGTTGCATTAAATACTTCGAAATAGAATTTAGCTATTGTCTCGTGCCAAAATTAAAAGAGTGTTTAATAAAATTAACTTATATTAATTAAGTACATTTAATTTGTGTTTGTTACCCTTAAGTATCAATAACTTTGGGCCCATCAAACACTTGCATACCACTTGAGTTGAAATCCTAGCTTTGAAACCGGATCAAGATTTTCGGCAGCAGTTCATTTTTTTAACGGCTTGAAACTCCATTACTCCATCCTTAATATATATTTGGGTAAATATATTTTTAATCTTTCAAATTTAGGATAAATTTATTTATTTTTCTTCAAATTTAAAATTATTATTTAATCATGTAATTTTTAAAAATTTTGTTTTAATCTCTCAGGTCATCAATAATATATCTAAAAGTAATAGATTAAAATAATTATATAATATTAATTAAATTTAATGATATTTTTACTAATAAAGATACCGCCATATAGATTTCATGCGACAGTATTTGACAAATTTTCTAACAAAATTTGAATAGAAAGATTAGAACAATATTTTTTTAAATTACAAAAACTAAAAGACTAACTTTAAATTTGAGAATCTAAAAATCAATTTATCTTAAATTTAAAAATTAAAAACATATTTAAATCTATATTTTTATTTTATTTAAACAAAAATATTAATAAAAAATTAACATGAAGAATTTATTATGGAAGATTGAATTGTACTCTAGCAGTTATTTTTCAACTAGAGTCCCAATCCCTTTTATTTGTTGTATTTAACTTTTTTCTATAAATATTCGTTACATAGACAATCTTGATAAGGTACAGTTAGGCACTAAATATAAATATTTCTCTCTCAAAAGTTCAAACCTTAACTGACTGACTTCTTCCTCTATGACCAACTCCATTGTTATTTCACTTATTCGCCACGTCAATGCATCTTGAAGTCAGAAACCCTAATATAATGGTGTTTTATCATTTAACACCCTTTGACATTAATGATTCTGCTATTATAAACTTCACTTGATCATGCACCATTTGACCCAAGGTAATAATGTATTCCTGCATCTCACCTCCCTTGCAAGTCTTTCATTCATATCTGCTAATGTTATTTAGTTCTCTTCACGTTTCATGCTTTAATTTCATATCCAAATTATAAGGGGCATCAATTCTCCCTATTTCAGAGGGAGCATGTTAGAAACATTCATTTATCACTCATTTGCAACTGTAATACAAATAAACCATGCAAGGCTTTCGAAGTACTAACTGTAGGATATGGTACATACAATCTTCCGTTGCGTGAACATCATCATCATCATTCATAACTAGTATTATTTCAAAGGGAGAATCATCAAAATCATGGATTATCTTGCGGGAAAATGGCCCTTCCATTGCAAGTCCAACTATAATCTATATAACCCTTCTCTTTCTATTTTACAATTTTCCCATATGCCCATATATAGAGAAAAAGAAATTGGTCATTCCAACAAAATTGAATTTGTTTCAAGTCCTTCAAACAAATAAGAGTTCCTAGACCTGACAGCTTTAACGGTAGGCTAAGGTGGCTGCATCATAACAGAAAGGAAAGCATTCCACGATCTTTCCTATGAAGTGAGTCTCCATCCAGAAAATATTTTAGAACGGTAATAGTCCACACACAGCCATGGGTACACAGTTCAAACATGATTTTCCTGTACATGCCTTTTGCTGTCCCTCTCAGTATGACCTAGCCGACTAACCTTGTTCCGATCCTCGGCATAATCAAAACGATTATTGTGGTGAGGTGGTCCAGGGCCATAATTATGGCGTTGCTTCCCCTCCATTCCTCTTTCAGGGGAGCTTCCTGCTTTTCTCTTGCGATTGCTTGACTTGGGTGATGGAAGCCCTACGCCCATGTCATCGAGTGCTGATACCTCCCCTTCTTCAACAGCATTTAGATCCGGTTCATATGATGACGAACCCTTTACTCCATGAAATTGCTCATCTGCATGATCTTGATGTCTTCCATGCATGTTCTCATATTCAGATCTGTCTGAGGACTTAGACCAGCTTTGCCTCTTATCCTTATTCTTCTCACTCTGAGGAGCCAGTTCAATTCCATCTTCCAGTTCCCTCTCAATGAGATCATCATCATCCATGACATCTGTTTTCTTAGTTATATGACCAGCTGCTTTCCTTCGTTTTTCTAGTGCAGCCTTTACCTTGTCCCTGTCAATTTTCTTAATGGCTTCTTGAGGAGGCTGGATGAATGCATCCTCTCTGTGATCTAGGTTTCTGCTACCATGTTTATCTTTCAATTCAGAAGGATCTTTTGTTTCAGTCCCTCCAGCATTGCTTTCATGCTCCTTTTCACCATTATCAGATCGAGATTTCACCATGTCTTGAGCTTCATGTAAGTTTCCCTTAAATGGTAGAGATTCCCGCTCAGAATGTTGATTGCCTTTGGCATCACCTTCCACCCTATGTTTCATTTCTGTGCTCCCATAATCACCACTTCTACCATGATTTGATATGGGGCGCCCAACATGAGTTGAGACTGATGAATCAATCACAGGCTTTGACATTTCCAGTCTTGAACTTGTGCCTCCAGTCTGGGAATTACACTTCGCAGCTGCAGTTTCATCATTACTAGCTGTAGCTTTTGCAGTGGCCCGATTGGAAGTCCCACCTCCTCCTTCAACATCATTGGAAGGTGGCATCCGATTTTGTTCATACAGCTCTAACATTTGATTACTCACTTCTGCAAAAAGTGGGAACATCATTGGTCTTGCATTATGATATTCAAAGTTAGTATGACTGCACCAGTCTCCTTAAATAGATGAATACTAAGATACCATTACACTCGGAAATAAACATGAATGAGAGAGGATAGAAAAGAGAGATGACATGAGATGGTACTTTTTTTCCTCATTTCTTTATACCACTAGTACTGAGTAAAAAGACACCAACCCTCCAATTGGCGTGGAGTGACATCAAACTCTTGCCACCAGACCTTCTCCCCATCTGATGGGAGCTTCACCTTCAGAAACTTGGCAGCAAGGAATATGGCTCCAGCTGCAATGTGATGGGGCTTAAATTGCAAGCAAAGTGATGTCCGAAGTCTGCATATCACATCCTAATTTCAGGAAAGAAAATCAAAGGCCACTTTAATAAAAAAGGTATAATCTTCATACCCATCATTTACAAAATTCCATGCAACTTGAGCAAGCGCATTTTGAGCAACTTTGAATTTCTTTATTGCCTCTACAAGAGGTTTATAAGGATGATGCACGTTCAGATCAAAACCGAGAGTTGCAAGAACAACCCTCTCCCCGATTAAAATTAATTCTTTATGTTGTTCATACACTTCCTGTGTCATAATTGTATGAGAAAAAATATATTAAAAGAGAGAAAGGAAAAAAGAGAAGTTAAAAGAAATTTTATTTTGAAATAAATATCCACAGTTAAAAAAAACAGAGAATAAAGAAAACATCAATAATTAAATTTTAATCCAGATATAATCTGCAAATTGCAAGCTAAAATGTTTGCCTGTGCTAGAACTTGCAGTGGATAGATATGTAAATAATTGATTAATTCTACTAAGGTGGAAATTGGGTAAAAGATAAAAATTAAAATATAAAAAAAAGGGGAGAGAGAGAGAATGAGTGAACAAAGAGGCCTAAATCAAACCCCTGCAAAGAAAACAATTAATTAACAGGTTAATGTCAGGACTCAGGAGCAGAGATTGCATGATGGGAGAAATACCTTTTGTTTTATTTTCATAATTGCCACTGGATCCTTCTTATTTATAATTTCATATGAAATAAGAATCACATCTTTAAGTGGGCGAGGAGTTTCTTCAACCTTCCCAGCAAGAAACATGCATACTGTTGCAATGGTCTACAAAACAAACAACTAACTATCACCATGTAATTTAATTTTCATCCTATACATCTGACAATTTATGACTATGCACACAGATATACATCAACAGGGAAGGATAGCTATATGGAAGTGCTCGAACAAATGCTGAAAAAAAGAAGGCTAGACAGAGAAAGAGATCACATTAAGTTTTCCAAATGAAGAAGACGAAAATTACAAGTAAAAACTAAGAATCAGCCATAGGATTTACCGTTCAGGAAATAAACCCAGGCATGAAATTAAAAACTACATAGCACAGACAAAACTCAACAACTAACAACGTAAGCAGCTTGTTAGTGATTGGCATAGAAAAATTACAAGTAAAAACTAAAAAGCAGCCATAGGATTTATCATTTGGGTAATAAACTAAAGCATGAAATTAAACACTGCATAGCACATCCAAAACTCAACAACTAACAACATATGCAGCTTGGTGATTGACAAAGAACAATTCTACAAATACAATTTATTGGTAACGGGTAAGGAAGGTCATTGAACTGAAGTCCTACATATAGTTAATCTAACCTAACACTCTACAAGGGTACAAGTTAATAAAATAAATAACCATCAGTCTACTGATATAACAGGATAATTTTCAGTCCTCATCATCCAGGAAGCTAGTAAAATATAAATATCTTTACAATTTGGCATGTTATACATAAGGTCTCACAATCAATCTTATTACCATAGTATGACTATAGTTGATACCTAACATGGCCAAATATTCATCAAACTCCAATTATCCATAGCTAAAGATTATGAAAAATTGATGGAATGTGTCAGAAGAAATCAAACGAAATATGATGCTAAGGTTTTATAACTAAGATAAAGCACATTTCATTATGAAGAAAACATTTTCATTTTTTCTTTATTAACATGAATTAAGATTAGCCAATACATTTTTTCCTTGCATCTTTTAGGAAAAGGGGTTGGACTCGCTTTGGTTTCAGATCCAAAAGATGGGGGTAGACAGTGATTAGGCCACTAGGAATCTAGGACACAGTCAAGACCACCCAGTATGTTGGATAATGGAAAGGAAGAAAATGATATTCTCTCAACAATGTCTAAACAATCTAATACTAGAAATGTAATACAAAAAAAAACCATTTTCATAATGCTAAGCAACACATTCTACTATTGGTTAAAATTTATTGAAAACTACCAAATTACGAATGAGATTCTGTTAAATAAAGTTAGTCCCACAAAACATGTGATTTCCAATAAATTTCAGCCAATAATAGAAAGTGTGTTAGAAAGAGCGTGTTGTTAGCATTTTTGTGGTATCAAAACCTCTGACCAAGTGGCCTATTGTACAATCCTCGCCATCCTCATTATTCTAATAAAAAAAAGGTTCAAGTTTCAAGACCAAAAGGCCACATTGCATGAGGGAGTGTGCTATGGATGTAATATAAAAAAGGTCAAATTCAAGTGACACGCTGATATCAAAACAAGCTGAGGACCAACAAAAACTGACCAATTAAAATAGCCTCCATTCCCAACTTCTGGCCACATGAGTACCAAAGATTGGCCAAATTCCTCTTTCCTTTGCCAATATTATGTCAATCATAGTATAATACACTTCCTTCACATTGATGCTCTTCTATCCACCTCACAAGTACAACAATCCATGACATAAAAATTCTATTTTTCTTCCATCTGGTGGAAAAGTATGTGACTAACCAAATTTAAATACTTCTAAATACTAACTGCTAAGGACTTGCATTCAATTCCTTTTAGTAAAAACTAATTATAATCAACCTAATCAATTGCCTACAAAATTCAGCACTGCACAAATATATAAGGTTGGTTTATTTAAGTTTCAAAAACAAGAGATTACATGATACATTTTTTTAAGGTGTAGAATAGAAGCTACTACTTTTATCTTCAAAGAAAAGCAATCAAATATTTCTTTGTATGTGTTGGCTCTAAAGTGAGAGGTGCATCTTAGAAGATAAAATTGTGGGTTATCACTATTAATTTAAGAATCAGTGATTGAGATTATAATAAAATACATGCATATGTATGTCGAACTGTGAAGTTGTTAAAATCACAAGCACTGATTCTTTAATCAACAGTTATAACTCAGCACTTTAATCTCTAAATTACACTTCTATCTTTAGAGGATTCAATTCCTTTTTAGGTGTTTTCTTTTTTTCACATAGTTATAATTATTTATAATATCTTTTAATTAAGAGAAGTGCTTTTCTTTTGAAAAAACACTTACAACTTGCCTACAGTTTTTACATTGTCAATCATCATCTATCTCTATTCATGAGTTATCTGAATCAGTTAAAAACCAAAACTGATAGTTATTTATTTTTAACAAAATTGAATATGATAAACTATCTCACGCAACCTTCCCTTATCTGACACTAACAATTACTTAACAAATTTGAAGTACCTTGCTCTTTGATCAATATCACGTGAATGATACATATAATATGGCTTAATATGCAATTATAATAACATTATATATATATATATAGGGTCAGGATCCAATAACACTATGGTGTAAAATTAGTGAAACCTTCAATAATTTTTTATAGAATACAAATTTAATCAATTTGACCATTATATTTAATGATATTACTAATTAGATCAAGTATACAAAATTTATTTAGTAGTTCCTCAAATAACTTTATTTTAATGTATAAAGTATATTAAAATACATATAAATATGTATTGTTAGATAACCTATGTAGGAAAGTCAAAATCATGCAAAATTTGATCATGATCATGTGTAATATCATCAATACAACGGTTGGATCGGTTGAACCTGTATTTTATAAAAAAATTATTGAAGATGTCATTTCACTAATTTGACACCATGGTATCAATAGATCCTAACCCTATATGTATATATATATATATATGCATGACAGCTTGCACCAAATCTATCAAACAGTGCACCACTTTCTTAGTACCAAATTTTAATAGGTATAACAACCAAACAAAGTAAATATACCAATCTTCAGCAATAACCCATTTGTTACAAGTTTTATCAAGAGAGAGAGAGAGAGAAATAAATAACTAATACATTTTTTTTCTTTCTCACTTATTCTTTTCTTGGTGATTTTCAAGAATACAATGCTGCCCAAATTCTCCTACATTAGTTTCACTGTTTTAGTTGGCATTGGCACTATGAATCCTCGTATGGAGATAATTTTGGTTAACCACACTCTTGAGCATAGATAAATCATAATTCATGATGAACTAGAATAATCAAAACAGAATAATTCAAATACAACAACCATGAATATATAAACCAGCCAAAAAACCGATTTGCTAACACTGCTCATTGAAATACATATAAAGAAAAAAATTGTTCACACCAAGAACAATTATCTAATAATAACACTAGGCAAGTTATCGTAACAAAATACATACTCACCCTCCTGTCATTCTTTGCATGGGACTGCCGGAGAAAGAATCGATGACAAAATATTATTGCAGTTGCAATAGTTACCTGAGGTCTGCAACACAATTAAATGAGAAACAACATCATGATAAATGAAGCTAAGATTCATTGACATTTATTATTAATTTTAATATGGTAATAGAGATAAATATTTTCCATTCAGAACAGTGTTATCAGTTGCAAATTGCAGAAAATGGCAGAAAGCCAATAATCAGCTATATCATATAGTGGATGGTGTATTGGGCAAATAGCTTACATTGCATAGCAGTTAAAATATGATATACCTGAATTATGTGTACAAAAACGTAAGTTGTATGAAAATAAAAAAATGCATAAAAATTGACATAATATTAACTCAAGTTCAATTCGTTGGAAACTTGGTAGACATGACTAGAGGGAGTAGGATAAATGCTGCAAACATGACACCATAGCAGCCACTACAGCGGTTGGAGTCATGATCACGGATTAAAGGATATCCACAATGCAATAGAGCCATTATAGCAGCTATTTAACAAAAAGGCTTCAGAACCAGCAATATCCTATAAGTTATAACAAATATATAAACACATTAAGTTGCTAAGATATTCCCGATAAGCTCCTTCCCTCCTACAAGGCAAAAAATCAAAGCTAACACAACCTTACTCTTTCTGTACAATATAAAAAACATTTTGTCACTGGAAGAACATTATATTAGTACTTAGTTGCAACAATAAGGATACTAGCAATAAATCACATGTCTTAAACAGGAAAATTTATAAAAGAAAAAGAGCATACATATTGCAGTTAAGATAGGTCACTGAGGCAACCAATAAAGACTCACACTTTAAGTCTCATGCCTAAGTCTTGCAGAAATGTACAGTATGATTTGCGTAGGTAGGTTTCTTTCTTCAAATCTATGCCATCTTGTTTGGAAGGTGAGTATTCTTCAATCTCCTTCCTAGAAAAGTACCATCTTGAACCATCCTCTGGTTTCTCTTGAGAGTGTCTTTGAGAAACACCTTGAGAAGTTCCATGATGAGAGACATCACCAAGCAACAATCCAGCCATGAGGTTGAAAGCTGACGAACTTAGTTTTGATGTATATCTGTATAAACTTCAGAATGTAATGATCATGTCACTAATATACAATTGTTTCCATTCCGTTAAATACAATTATGAGAAACATAGACATGATGCACTAACATACAAAATATGTAAAACACAAATCCCTAACGGGGTCAACAGAACACACTTGGGTTCAGAATTACCCTTCAGTTTTTTTCACTTTTATTTAATCATCAAAATCTGATATGAATAATCAACTATCTCCAAGATTTTCCCAAACAAATTTGTTGCTCAATTCTATACCCTTTAAGAAAGCGACCACAAGTATCACATCCTTTAATACCATTATCATTGACATTAACACTATGGAATTCCAAATTCAATATTCCCAACACTAACACAACTCCATGCATATACCTCAACAAACTTCACATCAGCACCTGAAATTTAGCATCACTAAACAACCCACACCAAACCCCTCAGCAAAATCATCTCAATATACTACTACTTAAATAACCTACCATCAAAAATTAAATAAAAATCACATAATTTTCCAGTCCACAGTAATCTGCAATACATACAATACAATACACCTACGACGACAATATGGAAAATGAAGTTTACAAACTCGCTAGTTTCAAAACACGTGAGAAACAGACAAAAACCCAAAAGCAAAAGGGTACACTATTTTATTCACCAAAAGCTAAATTAAAAAAAAAAAAATTGCAAGCAGAAAACTACAAAACCCAAAGCAAACTCATCCTTACCTGTAGTAAAAAAAAAAGCACAAGTAAAGTTCAATTTCAGTGTCGAAAGAGGAATTTGATGAAAACGAGGCGAATTTTATCCGCGAGCAGCGATAACTCGAAAACAAAATCGGAGAGTTCCCAGCACCAGCGCGTTGGAAAAGAAAGAGAGAGAGAATTTGACGGTGTAACTGTGCAAAGTGTGAAACACGAAGAAGAAGAAGATTAGAAGAAGAAAAATGAAGATATTTAGGGATTTTTCAAATTAGGGTTTACGGTGGTGAGGGAGAGAGAATGAACACACTACGCCGTATCAGCGGCAACCAATATACACACCAACCCTGATATTTTTCTTTCTTCCTTTGGTTTTTCACTTTTAAATTTTATGGGTAAATAATATATTATTATATTATTATATTATTATTTTTCCGTGGATTAATTTACCATCCTACCATATATGATCGTAGGGGTGACAAAGGGTCATTGGTCAATCTAACCCAATTAAATTTACTACTCATAATTAATCATAAATAATTAAATTATGTTAAATCCAATTTTTTATTAGGTTGAAAGTATCGACTCAATCTATTTTGGTAGATTAGAAGTTAAATTGGATTGGCCATCAAAAATTTTTTTAAAAAAAGAGTAAAGTATTAAGTTATCAAATAAATAAAAATATGAATTCTTATTATATGAATCAACCTGTAACACCTTAAAAATGTTGATGTTTGATATTTATTTAATTCATAGATATTGTATTACAAATTATTAAAAAAGTGTTGTTTTATTTGATGTGTGAATTTTTTTATTTTATTTACATGTATGATTTAAATTAATTTTAAAATATTTATGAATTTAATTATTTTAAGTTATGAATTATTTATTTTAAGATATGAATTTAAACATTTTATTATGAGGAAGATTATTTTTTTTTTTGAAATAATATTTTCAATAAAATTTAAAATTTAGTTTTCCCCAAAAATAATTGACAATAAATTTAGTACAAGTATTTTATATTTATTTCAACTATAAGTTAAGCATCAATTTAAATTTTCTCCCTCCATTATTTATATTTTAATATGGCTATGTGAGGAGAAAAGGAAAATTAAAATCAAAAGAAGTAATAAAGAGAAAACAAAAACAAAAAAGTAGGATTTATGTGACCCGTTCTTATCCTTTAAGTTAACATATTTAGAAAACTAAAACAAAATCAAATTATTCTCTTTATTCTAACTTCCGTCCATTAGTTGTCAAGGAATGAGAAAATCACTTCTCTTCATCTTCTTCATTTTTTCTTCTTGTCTAAAGTTTTTCTTTTTGTTCTATCCAAATTCAAGGTAAATCAATTAGTTTTTGAGCTTTCTGCTTCATCTTCAATTGATTTCCTTTTTCTATTGCTCTTTTAACTTACTTCAAGTTTGTTCTCCTTAGAGAAAATTGTGCAAAGGCTTGTTTTTTTCATTTCATCTTGTGAAAAAGTCTCCTTGAGGTAAGGGTAGTTGATTCCAACCTTTGAACTCTAACTTGCTGTATTACTATTTTAACTTACAAATCTGTATAGTATTTTTGTCACTGTTCTATTTGTTTTGTCAAGTTTTGGTACTTAATTTCATATTTTGATATTAAATATGGATTCTTTGGTTATGAAAACTTAGGATTTGGTTCAAGAATTATTCAAAAATAGTTTTCTAGTAATAGATATTATAAAAATAAGTTTTAAGCACTTTTGTGAAATCTTCTTTCTTGAACACGAAAATAATGTGATTTTTTTTATGAATACCTTATTTTAAACACTTATTTTAGTGTTTAAAATGTTCTTACCAAGTGGGAAAATATATGTTTACACATTTATTTTATGAAAAATCGATTTATAAGTAATTTAGCACTTTATAATCAAGCTTTGGTACTTTTGATGCACCTGTATTGTTCTATTTTATGTAGATGATTTAATTTTGCTATTTTCTCTCAAAAAAGAATTTAGAACATGGATAATCTTTGAGAAAGTAATAAGGTATATCTTAATTATTCCCTATAGAAGAGTTGATAATAATGTGGCAATTGATAAAATAATGAATTTATGATTTTTTTTTATGCTTTGTATAATTTGAAAAACCACAATGTATATTATTTTATAATTTGAAATTAATAATTATGATATAAAGTATTTACTTTGGAACCTATGATAGTTTTCAAATTGATAAGATTATGAGTGTGAACTCTAGCAACATAACTACAGTGTGCGAATTTATTTCTTGTATATGTATACTAAATTGCACGATTTAGTTGAGTTCGAACATAATGAATGGGATGAATTTTGTAATGAAGTGGTTGGTTGGCTGATATGAATTGTTTGATTATATTTTCCATGATATATGAGTCTACAGGTGTTAAGTTGTTTGTGTGTTCGTGTAGATTATTTTCTTTGAGACTACTTATGAATGCTAGTGTCCAAGAAATATTTAGTGTTTGTTTTTTTGGAAGTGATTTCATGATTGTTTATGGCATGGGAAATTAAGAATAAGTCAAAAAGTTTGGTGATATTGTGATCGATGAGGTAAATGCTTGGTGGATGTGTGGATGATTATAGAGATACACTTGGGCACAGGAAAAAGGAGGTATGATGACCTCAAGGAGTTGGAAAGTGGTGAATTTTATCGGCATTTGATGTACACATTTGATGTACACATTTGATGTGTTAGAAATCATAGTCCACACGATCCACTCCTATGCTAATGTGAAATTATACTTTTAGCTAAAGGGCCATATTACATTGTATCTGTCTAGAGCATTGTCAACTAATTGACAATCATCCACACATGCGTAAAACCATCATAACCAAAGGGGTTTTTGGTGGCAATGATTGGGCCTAAGTATAGAGATTTGAGTGTTAATGTTTCATTTAAGATATTTGAGAGTAATTTGTTAAAAAAATCACAAGTAATTGTTAAGTGATTATGTCTTTGTTTGCTTTATGATGTATTATAGTAAGCTTGTATTTGTTTGAGGGATTTGAGAGGCAAGGAAAACTCACCTTTACAAACGATATTTTAGGAGATGACAACACCCTAAAGGACCTTTCATCTTGCCAAGTTTCATTACAACTATAAGGAATCCCTTGAAGCAAAAAGTCATGTACATTTTAGTTATTAAATGTTTTTAGTAAATATTGTAGGAGAACAACCCCAATTGTAGATCACTATATAGGTGAGTGTAACATTTATGATGCTCTTTGGGTGGAGACTCGGTATGAGGATTCACCATATATGATACTATTATGTTAACTATGGCATGCAGAGACCTATGAATGCATTGAGGTATCTTCAGGTGTTCTTCAACCATGATGTTTTTAGCAGACCTACTCGATAGACTTTCCAACAAGATTGGAGTTCAAGTGTATGTTGAAGAGCGAGATTCCAACCTCGAAGACATGACACTAGAGGAATGGGATTTATGTGCTTGGTTGTTTGGGGAGGATAGTATGTATAGGTTGTTAGTTTTCCTCTCTTATTTTGGGTTGATTGCTTTGAGTATTGATTACTTCTTTTTTTGTTGTATATTTGGGATGTGAATTTTTCTATAATATCTACGCTATTACTCAGTGATGTAACAAATAACTACACCTTATATTTTTTTGGGGGTTATATTTTCTACTTCTTTTTTAAAAATAATTATGGAAACATGTAACATATTTTATATGTATAAAAATATGGCTTACCTTATATTCTTGTATATAAAGTTATATTTTAAAATTATTATACCCCTTTAATTATGCTTATTTCTTCGATAAATATTCAATCTATCATTATATTTTGAAAAGTATAATTGAAATAATTCTAGTTACATATTTTATTATGCATTGATTTAAATACCATTGCATTTATACATGTTTTTTTATATAGAAATTTTATTATTAATTTTCTTTCGCCAAAATTATTTTATTTAAATAAATTAAATCTAAAAATATAAATATTTTAGTAATTATTTTGGGCATCACACAACCATAACATGCAAAAATATCATAATAATAATATAATAAGTCATTTAAATATCTCAACTTTAAAATTATAAAAAGGTTTAATGCATTATTTGTTTTATAAACTTTTTAGGATTTTTTTGAATAAGTACCTAAACTAAAGAAAAATAAATTAGGTCTTTCATTTTTTTTTATATTTTAGTCTCAATAGTTAGAAATTTGTTTGCAACCCATAAAATTTCATAGAATATTCTTGATACATATGGATGAAGACACAAAATAATAATCTACTATAGTTATCCAATTTTAGTCATATGAATATTAATTTTTATGAAATTTCATATATTCTAAATTAATTTCTAACCCAGGAATTAAATTACAAAAATATAAAAAGATGAAGGCATAATTTTAATTTTTTTTAGGTACCTAATTTGAAATATTTTTAAAAAAAATAGAGACCCAATGATGTATTACACCTTACAAAAAAATAATTTAAGTTTCAACATAGTGGATCAACTCAATCTAAGTCATTATTAATCCACTAGGATAGTAGATTGCTTTGGATTGTATATGTTGGTTTTAGGTTTAGTCATGAAACCCAATCCAACCGAGTTCATTTATCTAAGTTAAATGGGTTGACACGTTGGTTCAATTTGGTGATATTTCTCAACTAGAAGGATGTAGTACTACTAGGGTCTCGTTGAGATAGTGAGGCAACGCAAGATACGTCCCATGCACACAAACGGGCAGAACTAGGCCTTCCAAATCCCACTATCCCCTAGGACTCCTCCAAGATGTTTCACACTTGGAGCGCTTTCTCTAACGATGTACTCCATATCGTACCCTGTCACATAAATGCATATGATGCATGTTACACATTCACAAACTCATGGACTTAACATTTTACTTGTCAAGGAATTTCATGTCTCATGTCTCATGTCACTTGTTCACATTTCACATTTCTCATAATCATACTCATACGATCATCATTTGGAGATTCTTGTCCTTATCATGCTCATAAAACACATCACTTACGTTAACATAGTAATAAGTCAATTTCCACACAATTTACACCTTCAAACAAGACATAAAACATGTAAAACATTATAGGGATCACACCCAGTGCGCCCCAACTCGCGCTCGGCGCATTAAATGCCACACCAAAAGCGGAGCATCACGCTCGGCGCACCCTAAGCGCACTCGACGAATTAAATGTCGCGCCTAGAGCGGAGAAATCTATTGGATGAAACTTTCTTGCGCCCGGCTTAACTATTAAGCCCTGCTTAAAAAAAACTAAGGCCGACTTAAAAAGCTAAGCCTGGCTTAAAAACTGCGCCCGATGCTAAGAACTATGCCTAGCGCCCCAACGCGAACCTGGATTATTTAACTTTGCAAAATCGTGCGTATTTCACAACCAAACATGTAATTATAGCATTCAATCGGTAAAAACACTTCAAATAACACCCGGATCACGAATCCATACTTAATTTTATGTAAACTACCTCAAATCTTGTCAAAAGATCATACCCCTAATTGTTTCTCATAGGATTTCTCCCAGGAACCTAGAGAGCACTCTAATTCATATAAAAACTTATCTAATTTCAAAATCAAACACATATTCACGCATCACATCCAACCGGAAACCCAACAGAAAACTCAAACATTAAAATGAAAACTTTCATAATCTGCTTATTCCTAGAGCATGCATCAGGCAAGGGATTGAGGGTCAATCCTGCTACCCAACAATTAAAGTCCAAAATAATGGGTTTCATACACATCAAGCAATTCACATCTAAATCATCAATTTTTATCAAGTAATATAACAATAACATTCATAAATTAATATAATACTCAACGGAATTACCAATTTAATATAATTTCAACATAACAGTAAAACTCCCAATTGTTCCAAAACCTAGCTCACAGGCACTTTTCTACAGTTTCGTTCTCCCTCTCAGATCATCATTCTTACAAATTAAATATATATTTCTAATCCTCAACACATACAGAATCCAATGGGATCATCAATTTCTCAAACAGAAATAATCCAATTTTTCCAAAACCTAACTTACAGGCACTTTTCTATAATTTCGTTCTCTCTCCCAGAGAATCATTTTTACAAATTAAATATATATTCATAATCCTAAATTCATACAGAATCACATAAAACCAATAATTCTCCAAACAGAAATAATTATAAAATTACTCATAATCTTAAGGGCTCTTCCTCCACCCAATTCCTTCATGTAACTCTACATATAAATAATTCTCTTTTCCCCTGTACCTAGATATGTAGAAGTTGAACCTACACAAGATCTGGTTGATCTCCCTCGCTAGGTTCCCCTCGGTCTGAAGCAGAAAGTAGAGGAAAAGAAGAGAGAGCAGAAAAAAAGAAATTAGAAAATGAGAGGTGTGCTTTTTGGGAGTGGCAGAGAGCTCAATTTATAGGCATCAGGCTTTGCCGGAATGACCCGTTCCAATTTCGGAATGGCCCGTTCTGGACCCTTAAATCATGGGTAAAAATCACATCCAGAACGGCCCGTTCCCAAACTAGAACGGCTCGTTCTGATGTGCATTAATTACTCACAACGGCCATAATTTTGGGAACAGCCCGTTCCAAGCCCGTTCCCATTTAGGATTATAGGCAGTTTTTAATAGTCCGGAACGGCCCGTTCCAACTTGAGAACGGCCCGTTCTGGGCTACTAACTCACATACATTTTGGTAGTTTGGAATGGCCCGTTCCAATGCCGGAACAGGCCGTTCCAAGCTACTAAATCACCCCTATACATTTATAAAAATTACTAAAATACCCTCAATTAAAATAAAATAAAAAAAAATAAAATAAAAACTGGGGTGTTACATGATGGCACAAATCTGAGACACCTGAAACCTGTATGAAGTGTGTGTTGTCTTCTAAAAATTCCACGAAAGCTGATGGTGTTGGAATAGCCACAATCATTGTTGATTGCATCAAGGACAAGGCAAATATTTTGGCACTCAACACCACAAACTTGGCTTCCACAACGCATGGAAAACTCAAACCTTTTTATCAAACATGTGCCAAAGACTATGATTACATTGCAAAGAAAGAGTTAATTTTGACCAAGAAGGCTTTGCACAAACACGAATATGACAATGCTGAATCTTGTATGGTTAAAGCTCTAACTATTCATGTTGCATGCCGCGCGCCTGTGGAGTATTACTGCGATGAAGTGCCAAGTGGTGTTATTGATGATATGAATACATATGAGGAGCTCTGTGAGGCTGCTTCTACAGTAATTACAAAGCTTTAGGTGTAATTGTTGATGCCCACAAAATTGTTTAACATAAGTTGGTCAACACCTATTATCAATTAAATAATAAATAAAAATAAAAAAATTAGATAGTACAAGTAATTTAATATTTGTGTTTTTTTTTTAATTAAGGATCGGTGTTCGATTTTTCCTTTGGACATAAAATTATAATTAAAGATATTACTTTATTTTTAAAATAAGTTGAATTATTGAATGAGGGTTATTCCTCCTAATTATATAAAATTAATGAAATTAGATTGTTAAATCATGAGGGGTTGAAAAAAGAGTTAATAAGAATTGTTTCATTTGTTGTTTGTTCACAAGAGAAAAAATGACTTCCAAAACCCCAAATTCTTTACAAAGTTTTCTCCTATTTGGACCTATATACCAAATTCCCAACTTTGTCACAACCGCGGCCACCAGCAAAGGAGACGCTGTGAGAAAGATATCATGTGTGTCCCTTTGTGTGTTCTATAAGTGAAAAAAAAAATGAAACTTATCCCTTTCATTCTTTGATATATGAAGCACAAAATAATAAAAATTGTGAGATCTTGATTTTAATAGGTTCAATGAAGGAAAAAGAGAAGAGTTTTGATAGGCTGATAGGTTGGGCCTAAAGAGTTCTAATAAGAAAAAAATAAGTGATTAATATATTATATATTGATTGATCTTAAAATGTTATTGTATTTATCTTTTTTAGAATAGGAATGTAACATCTCGATTTTTATACCTTATATTAATAATATTTTAGAAATTATTTCAGTATGTTAGTATATTTATTTTAGAATTTTTGGTATTATTTAAGTATTCATATATATGAGCATTATTTTATTATAAAGCATGATTTGTAATTATTTTAGAGTTTTGATATTATTTAATTAATTATATGAGCTTTATTGTATTTATAAAACATGCATGATTTGTGATTATTATTTGGATTAGTATTATATAGGTAATTTTTATGAAATGTATTTTATTAATAATTATGCTTATTTATTTGATTAAAAGGAAGAGGTATGTTTTAATTATATTAATTATTTTATGGAAGGGAAGGAAGGACGTGGAGGTCTTTTGATATTTATTATTAATATTTATTTTATTAGTTGAGAAAAAAGGGGTTTAAGAGAGGTTATCAGAGGTTAGAAAGTCATTTCACGTATTCACTTCTTCCTGACTCATTTTCTTTCTATGCTTTTCAAGACCAAGGAGAACTTGAAGAAGTGAACCAACTTGATTTCGCTCGTGCTTCATCTTCTGTCCATCAAGGTAAGGGGGAGTAAGAAACCTCGCTCGGGGTGTGGGAATAATTGTTGGGTAGCAGGATTGACCCTCAATCCCTTGCCTGATGCATGCTCTAGGAATAAGCAGATTATGAAAGTTTTCATTTTAATGTTTGAGTTTTCTGTTGGGTTTCCGGTTGGATGTGATGCGTGAATATGTGTTTGATTTTGAAATTAGATAAGTTTTTATATGAATTAGAGTGCTCTCTAGGTTCCTGGGAGAAATCCTATGAGAAACAATTAGGGGTATGATCTTTTGACAAGATTTGAGGTAGTTTACATAAAATTAAGTATGGATTCGTGATCCGGGTGTTATTTGAAGTGTTTTTACCGATTGAATGCTATAATTACATGTTTGGTTGTGAAATACGCACGATTTTGCAAAGTTAAATAATCCAGGTTCGCGTTGGGGCGCTAGGCATAGTTCTTAGCATCGGGCGCAGTTTTTAAGCCAGGCTTAGCTTTTTAAGTCGGCCTTAGTTTTTTTTAAGCAGGGCTTAATAGTTAAGCCGGGCGCAAGAAAGTTTCATCCAATAGATTTCTCCGCTCTAGGCGCGACATTTAATTCGTCGAGTGCGCTTAGGGTGCGCCGAGCGTGATGCTCCGCTTTTGGTGTGGCATTTAATGCGCCGAGCGCGAGTTGGGGCGCACTGGGTGTGATCCCTATAATGTTTTACATGTTTTATGTCTTGTTTGAAGGTGTAAATTGTGTGGAAATTGACTTATTACTATGTTAACGTAAGTGATGTGTTTTATGAGCATGATAAGGACAAGAATCTCCAAATGATGATCGTATGAGTATGATTATGAGAAATGTGAAATGTGAACAAGTGACATGAGACATGAGACATGAAATTCCTTGACAAGTAAAATGTTAAGTCCATGAGTTTGTGAATGTGTAACATGCATCATATGCATTTATGTGACAGGGTACGATATGGAGTACATCGTTAGAGAAAGCGCTCCAAGTGTGAAACATCTTGGAGGAGTCTCGGGTATTACCCGCGGGTACGGGTATAGTTGCCATCCCTAAGAGAGAGAGAGAGAGATAAATAGATCGATAGATATGGTAGAGTCATACTACTTTAATTGTCGAGAGAATTTTAAATGATATTTTGATATATTTAATTTATAATTTATCATTAATGAAAACTCAACTTTTTGAATGAATTAAAAATAATTATAGTTTCCAAGACACTCTACATTGCAATAATTTAATATATATGTTATATATCGTTGAGCGATATTCCTTTAATTGTTGAGAGAATTTAAAATAATATATTTGATATTTTTAAACTATACCTATCCTATTAGATATTATTATTTTTTCCTCTATCTAAAGTTCTCTTACATCACATTCTCTCGGTTTGCTGGTGTTTCTCCCAACTTTTCTATCATATCTTAATATATATAAAGCGAATAAGTTCTCCAACCAATACATGCAACAAAAATAAATTGTACTAATAAATATTTTTTAATGACTATCATTTGTAGCACTAAATACTATGAAATAAGGTTATACACATTCTATTCTTCAAAAGTAAACAACTTCTCCAATAAATACATGTAGAAAAAAAACTCTATTAATAAACATACTTCAATGACTCATTTAAAACACTAAATACTAAGGAATAATTCTCAAAGATCATGGCTATACACATTCCATACTCATAGAGTTATTCTCATCATGTAATTTTAGCCCATGTAAACAACCTTTAATCATCATATTTTCACCATTATATATCTTTTCATTCTGAAGTGATTTATTTGATGTTTCATTTGAAAAACATTTCTAATGTATTTGTTGTTTTTTATTTTCTTTTTTCATTACACACGCACATACACACACACATATATATATTAGTCTTCCACTACCTGGATAAACAGCAGTTGAACTAAAACATGAATCTCTTGGTCTCCTCCTCTAAATGCCTCTTGGTCTTCAGAGAGAAGAACCGGAAAAGAAGAGAGAACAACAAAGAATAAGAAGAGAGAATGAGAGATGTGTGAAAAGGAGAGGTGAGGGGCGCTATTTATAGGATTTCAGGCTCACCTACCGGAACGGCCCGTTCCAAAACCAGAACGCCCGTTCTCAATCCCAGCAGAACGACCCGTTCTCCCACCAGAACGACCCGTTCTGCTTCTTCAATTTTGGGCATTTTTCTTATTCTGGGACGGGCCATTTCACTTTTGAAACGGCCCGTTCCGGGAAATCAATTGGGCCTCTAGCCCAGTAATTTTGGGCTGTTACAACAAACTTCTTTGTGAGTGATCTCTTAAAAGAGTCAAGTACTTAACATGTTTGTTTCCATTTTTTATTGTTTATTTTGTCCCCCTCATGTATAGTACATGTTTTCTAATATATTACCTTTCTATTTGTGATAATAAATGATTATGTAGTGAACATTCTCTTCACCACTACATGATATCTTGGTGGTGCTAGTGTTTCCTCCAAAATAACACTTTAAAATGCTCTAACCATATCTAGAAAATGAACTTGAAATTAGGACAAGTAAAAAAATTGTTTTCAATGTAGTTTTCAATATAAAACCATAAAGATAGTTGGATTCCATTTCAAAATCATGATATTTTTTAATTCCTTTGTATTAATGTGATGAAATTTCCGATTTCTAAAATTTTTATCCATTGAAAAGTACTAGGCAGGTTAAGTACATATTTAGTGGATGGTATTGTGACATCGAAAAATGATCAATTCCTCATATATTGGATCAAACTCTTGCTAAGGGTCCCAAGGGTTAGAAATCTTGCATAGGTTTTTTATTGATGTTAGTTTTAAGGAGAAAAACATGATACTTGGGGAACATCTTTACATTCTAGTTCTATTCAAACTCATCGACATTTCATTTTTTTTGTTATTGAAGGTTAAGTTTTAAAATTCCAGCCCACTGAAAAAGTTTTAGGGATGCTTTTGGAGATGGACAAAAGAAAATTTTTGTTTTTTATGGAATCTTGCACCAATATATTTTTTGTGCTAATATTTTCTTCTTCAATTTGTTGTTTTAACTAATGTTTGTGATTATTAATTAAGAATAAATGAATGATTATTTTTTTAAGAAGTTTGTAAGAAAGATGATACAAATCCAACTTCCATGTCCTTTAAAACAAAAAAAAAAAGTCTTTAAAATCGAAAAACTGAAGAAAATATGAAGTGTTGTAACATGATAATTGAAACATAAAGGATAAAAAAAAACACACTCAAAAAATGATATAAAATGATTTAATCATATGTCTACCTCATAAAAAAAATCCTAATCATTTACTTTAACATTATTTTTTATTTTTATTTTTTATTTTGATGAACTTTATGTTTGCATTGCAACTTATTTTAGATAGATTTATAAGATAAATATTTTGTCTCTCCCTAATTTTTTTGTCAAAGTTTTGAAAAGCTTACATATTAGAGTTATTATAATCTTAACTTTAAATTTCAAAACTCTCATTCCATCATTTTTTTTTTGCATAACATTGTTCATGTATAACTAATGTTATTAGAGTTGAACTAGTCATCAATTCAATCAAGTGATCACGTTAATGGATTGTTGATTGAAATAATAGGGCATTAGTTGAACTTCATAAATTAGTATGCATAACATAATATTTAAATTCTTATACATACATACATATATATATATATATATATATATGTATTGTTACTTTTCTTCATATTGTTGACAAATATTAATAGTAGTTAAATGCTAGTTTAGTATAATTTGCAATGTACAACAGTTTGGAGTATGAGAATCTTTGTAATGAACTTTCATGTTTTAATTATACATTTCATATCCCATAAGTCATGTTCACTACCTTGAATGGTCTGCATTGAAACCAAGTTTTGGCCTAGTTTATTTGATGACATCATCATTGGGCCAATAACATATTCAACTGAAAGTGTAACTCAGCTTAATGATAGGTCTGCTTTCAAGTCAAATTGATCCAATCAATCGATTCAAATGGAGTTTAATAACACCACGTCTATCCTATAATTTTCTTTAATATTTATCATACAAATATAACTAATAGATACTATGTAATAACTTATTGTTATTAAAAGAGTAATATTGCTTGGTATGAAAATATTGAATAAAAGCATATACATATACACACTTTTGTGATTTTCTTTAATATATTTATTTCTTCTTTTTTCAACTTTTAAAATTACCAATAAAAATGTGTGGATTTTGTCTTGTTCCTTTTGATACTAAATAATAAAAATCTTGTTAATAATTGCACTTAATTTCTAAGTTACATGACAAAAAACAATTGTAGAACAACTAGATGAACAAGCATACTAAAAAAAAGAAAATGAAAGGCAATGTCAAAACCAAATCCAAAGCTATTTCCAATTTTAGCTAACAGAACCATGAAGGTAAGGACTTGGCGGTATTGAAACTTCAGCAATTCCTTCTAGCATCTGCAAAACCTTCTTCATTGTCGGCCTTCGAGATGGGTCTTCTTGAATGCACCAAATAGCAATCATCACAAGTTTTTCAAAGCTTTTTATATCATTAATAGCCTCATCATCATTTTCTAGAAGAATGTGTAATCTTCTAGCTATGTAGCAATCATATGCCCAATCAGTTAATATCCCTTTTTCTTCATTATCAGGCTCTTTTTCTACATTCTTCCTACAACAAATGATCTCTAGAAGCACCACACCAAAACTATAAGTGTCAACCTTAGTTGTGATTGGTGCACTTCTAAACCAATCTGGTGCAACGTACCCTTTTGTTCCTCTAATTCCAGTTTCAGTGTGGCTTTGGTTGATCAATAACAGCTTTGCTAAGCCAAAATCTGAAATTCTAGCATTATATTGATCATCTAAAAGTATATTTTGAGGCTTTATGTCACAATGGTTGATTTGGGTGCAACATTCCTCATGCAAGTAAACAAGACCTCTTGCAATCCCAAGGGCAATGTCGAACCGTTGGCCCCAATTTGATTTTAAAGGGGTGAAAAGGAAGCTTGCTAAAGTGCCATTGCTCATAAACTCATATACTAGAATTCTGTGTTGTCCTTCATTGCAGTATCCAAGTAGACGAACTAGGTTCCTATGATGAGTTTGTCCTATTACATTCACTTCAGTCTGAAATTCCTTATCATTGTCTCGAAACAACTTGTCTAATTTCTTAACAGCCACACTAGTCATCTCTATTGTTCCCTTATAGACAATGCTAAAAGATCCTCTTCCTAATTCTTCTCTAAAGTTGCTTGTTGCTTCTATAAGTTCCTTGAAGGTAAAATTACGTAAATTTTTCCCAACAACACTGTTGTTGGTTCTACTATTTTTGATCTTTTTGCAATTGTAAGGGAAACCAAAACATATTGCACCAATCAACATTAAAATGACCAATACAGAGATTCCCAAAAGAACTGATATCACAATGATCAAGGGAGCGTGATCTTTCTTCTCTTTTGGGTCATTATTTTTCATCAACTTTATGATAGAAGTTGCATTTAGTCTCTGATCACTTCTCCCATTTGTTAGTGGCAACTTCTTCTTCCAACAAGAATTTCCACTAAAAGCAACCAACACACACAAGCAATCTTGCCAACAAGACTTTGTACATTCTTTTAGACCAATAGGACTTAATGTTTCATAATCAGATTTAGGCCAATCAGTGTTTTGCAACTCCTTCATTATATACAAATCATCTTGTGAACCCTGGTGCCCACCTCCTTGACAAATGACTTGGAAATCTGGTATGCAACCACCATACATGTTATTTGAATCAATTAAAGAATATCCCTCCGGGCATTTACACATTGGCCTTTGGTCTTTTTCAAGGTTGCATATGCTATTAAACCCACAAATACCTTCACTATTTGTGAATGTAGAGTTCAAACAAATATTTTCTGGTATAGTCTTTGAAGTGATCCATCCTTGTCCATTTTTTGGATCTTTGGGGTAATATGATATGGTAAAAACTCCATCATAATTGATTGTTGCTTTGTAGAAGAAGTCAGTAGTAGAGACTGTCTCAATTGGCTTGATGAGACTAAACTTCTCCCCACTTTTTTTCAATATGTATAAGAAGCCTGATTTGTCAAATATCAATTTCATGCCAACATTTGTTTGGTTCCTAGCGTCAGCAGTGCCAATATCATAGTAAGGCTCGTAACTATAGTTGCTAGGCAAATTGATAAGGTTGAACACAAGATTCCCATCCTCTTGTAGAAGAAGTTTAAACCTTCCACGTGAGAAGTTTAACTCTCCTTGTCGAGAAGAAAGTTCTCCATTTAACTCCATTACTTGAGTAGGTACCAATGTGTCAGTTGGATGAGTAAAACTTTCCCATATTGGCACAAAATTTTGATCTAATAGTTGGAAATTTCCATCATCATTCATTAGACCATTAAAAACTATACCTGATGTAAAATTTGATCTCCACAGCTCTAAACCTTGGGGGTTGCTAAGTACTAGTCCACGAGAGTCATTTAGTTCTAACCTTGATCCTGTTGGAGCAAGGTTGTCTCCATTTGCATACCAAATAATGGTTTTATTTGGCATATTGTGATACCATATAGCCAATAAGAAAAGCTCATTCGGAAGTTGGTAGAACCCAAATGCAAAATCACCTGAAGGAGAAAGCCATTGAGATGTCCCATTGCCGGCTATGAGTGAGTCACCAACCCTTCGGCTACATTATATTATAGACATGAATAGTTATTAGTGATATTTGAGAAAGAAAAAATGACCTTCCTAATCAATTGTTAAAATGCAAGCTAGCAGGAGTATTAAGAATTTATCTAACCTGGCATTGTTAGATGTAGGACAAAAGACAATGTTGTAATTCGTGGGATTGGAACATGTGAAGGTACTAGTAGAATCGTCAAACGCGTAGCTATAAGCTTGTGGACACGCTTCCTTGAATACTTTGGCGTACAGGCTTGGCTTGCAGTTGTCCGCACCAGAATAATTCCCTATGCAACAATAAAAGTCTTTGTTTATGTTGGCACAAGCGTTTTGACATGCCACTACTTGTCCCTTTTCCTGTACCTTCATTTCTGTAGGACACACTTGGTTCAAATCCACCGCACACCCTGTGCTCTTGCACTTGCTGTCGCCGGGAACCACCGCTACCGGAACGTTAAACCCATCCACCAAGCTCACATCGTAGAAGTCCATGCCATTGCTGTCTATTGTAATAAATATTTATTTTATGAATAGGAATTTTCCTATAAATTCTCTAGAGTTACAATCAATTGTGTATTTTTATTTGTTAAAAATAAACTAGTATTATGATGGATGATATTTAAGTCCATGATGTGACTAAATATAATGAACCTTGAACATTTAATTTTTGATTTGTGTGAAAAATGGTGTAAGGCTAACTTTAAATGATTGAAGAAGTCTACAGTTAATTAAATAACATGATGGGATCCCTTTTGAATTTGACTCATTAAAACCTTAAAATATTAGAGTAAGTAGACAAAAGAAAAGTTAGATTTGTGTAATTATAATAGTGTGTTTGGATAAAAAATTTAAATGAAATAATTTATTTGTTTGAAGAATTTCAAATTTTTTGAGATAAAATACTTTATTTTGATGGAAAATTTATAAAGAATTTGAAATTTAAAAATTTGTAAAATTCTTTGAAATAGTAGAATTTCGAATTTTTCCATAAAAGTAAGAAATTAAAAAATTTTGTTTTTTTTTTTCTTATTTCATTTATATATTTTATGTTATCTCTTATATCTCATGTTTTTAATTATTGATTATTCAAAAATATTTTTAAAATTATTAAATATTATCTAATATTAATTTTTAAAATTATTAAATATTTAAAAATTAGCTAATATTTATTTTTATAAAATTTAATTTAAAAATCTCAACATATAAATATATTTTTAAAATCAATTTTACCATGATAGAATCAAATTATCATATCCAAACTAACAATGGAAAGTTTAAAAAATTTAAATTGATTTATTCAATAAAATATTTTAAAAATAAAAAAAATAAAATCAAAATAATTTAAATATTAAGAATTTCAAATCCCTAGAATTCCTCATCGAAAATATATTAAAGTTACGCCTTCAATAAGTAAATATATGATTTAAATTTGTGTTCCTAATGTATATAATAAGGTGTAATCTTGTTTTTCTTACCTTATGAACTTTAAACTTGTGTTCATTCATCGCACGTGACTAAAATCCACTTAATAATAAAAATTAGATAAATATATGTGGTGATTATTGTAATTAATGGAATTGAAACACTTAATTTCTCTAAGTTTCTCTACTAAATAAAAAAAAGGTAATTAATTAAGTCATTAACGTTCGTAATTAGTTTTCAAATCTCACTATTGGAGTTTCAGATTTCATAAAAAAAAAATTTACCTGTTGTAAATTCTACGAGTGTAACTGGTGGTGAACTTCCATTTCCGTTGCATTGGACCTCGCCGGAGCCGCAGTCGCCGGTGATGCATGAGAATTTTCCGGTGGCTGTGTCGGTGGTGCAGAGGGTGCGACCCCAGAAACGGCCGGTCCATCTGGTGGGTGCTGCGACGGTGAAAGATTCTTTGGTTCTCAAAACAAAGCCTGTTCTGTTATCCATAGCACTGATAGCAGCTGGCCACACTGTGTAATTACATTGGTTAACGAAAGTGAAATTCGCAGAATTCACCCCTGCAAATCAAATTAATTAATTCCACATATTAATTTGTTAGTTGAAGATGCATGATAATTGTGATTTACTTGCATGCAATTAAATTAATTAATTACATAACCCCAAGCGTGTGATTCAGCGGTAGGGATTGATCCACGTTTAAGCAAGGTCAGGGATTTCGAATCCTGCCTTGTGTATGCAGTCGCGTTAAATCTTGGGGTCAACTATCCTACCTTTTGAGGTGCCTCCAACGTAGCGAGGAGATTAGTCACTGCTGTCGGCGGTGGATACTCCAAGGACAAACAAAAAAAAGAAAAAATTAATTAATTACCTGATGCTGATAATTCAAGTGTTAATATCAAAAGTGGAAAGATCCATGTTGCCTCCACCATATCAAAGGTGAAAGAAAATGAAAAATGTGAAGTGATTATTGAAGATGAAGAGAAACCAGTTATGACTTGTGAGCAAAGTTGTTTTTCTTTTCTCTAGAATTATATGTAAGTCATGATTAACCCGTCAGACACGTTGAGGAGTTCATTTTCTTCTTTGCTTTGTGCCAAGTTGACTGGTTGACCTCAATATTGTATATTCTCATATTAATATTATTAAAAGAAAACATATTAAAATGTAATTATTTATAGAGATGAGATTCTCTTATTTTAGGAATAAGTTTATTTAAGCTTACTTCGTTTAATAACTCATGTTTCATATCAAATTTTAACGATTTAATCGTTAAATTTAAAATTTTTAATGTGTAGATCAAATCTGAAAGTTTTAAAAATATTTAAAAATTATTTGTTACTTTATTTCATTAATTAAAAGGGTCCCTTTTCTATAATTTCTCATTATATATTAAGATTTGGGTTAGGTGTCTTTCATGCATCTAACACCTGTTCATGTGACATGTAAGAAAATTTATTTCATTATTCAAATATTATTAAGTAATTAAAATCATATGCCAAGTTATGCATAATTATTTTTTTTACTTTTTAAATTTTTCTTTAATCTAAAAATACTTTTCAAAATTAGAAAGAACAACAAATAATATTCTATTAATATAGGTTAAATTATATTTTTGATTATTTATATTATTTTTAGATTCATTTTGAATCTTTATCTATTAAAATATTTATTTTTGTCCTTTTTTTATATTTGAATTAATTTTGTTATTTTAAAATGATGATTATTTTTAATTTTGTGACATGATATTAAATCACGTTTGATTCAAGACTTGAAACTTGTGACATTAAACTCATCTATATATAAAAACTATGAAATTTAATCAAATTAGAATAAAAAAGAGTTATAAATATAGCGAGAATCGTATGAAAATATATTATCACATACTTTCACTATTCTCAATTGTATAAGAAAAAAAAAACACATATTTTTTGTCCTTAATAAATATAAATGAATTTCAACTATTTTTGTCTTATTTAATGATACATTTTCAAAAATACCCTTTCTTTAACGCATAAATTTTCAATTACACTACTTCTCTTGACATTTATAAAAAAGATAATTTAAGAAGAATGTCATGAAATTAGTAAAATTTAATATAAATAACTTAATTTTTTAGTATATGTAAAATCAGTTATTTTTACTTATAATAGATAATAAAGAGAGTAAATAATTAAAAAATAATATAAAATTAGATTTTTTAAAATTTTTAATTTTCATCTTTTTTTATAGCATAATTTGAACTTCAATTATACTTCATAGTTTTCATTAAATATAAATTTTATGAGACAATTTTTAAATTTCAAATCCGTTAAAAAAATGAAAATGACTAAATTAATCTAAATTTAAGGAATAAAAAATTAAAATAAATATTTTAATAGATAAAAAATTAAAATAAATAAAAAAAGAAAAAAAAACTATAATTTAGCGATTAATATAATAATATAATATAAAGAATCGAAGAAAAATAATGGCGCGGCGGTCCTCGTGGTAAAATAGATTCATCATATCATTCACGTGATTAGCATTACAAAATTGACTGGTTTATATATATTTTTTTATATTTAACTTATTGAGTTTTTTTTTTTCAATCTTTAAAAATATAAAAAAAAAATTATGTACTTTTATTACAAGTAAGAAACTAAATTCGGTCTACCTTTCGAAAATAAAAATGTTAAAATGTGTAAGTTTTAAATAATGATTAATTACAAACATAACTAAATATGTTATTTCATCCGGAGTTTAATGTTTATTTTAAGAGACTATTTAATCACAAGGACTAGTCTAATAATGTAGGAAGGATGGGAGTAAAATATACATAATTTCAAGTTTTAATATTATTATCGTTATTGTAATTATTATTAATAAAAAATAATTTAAAAAACTATTTTTTTTCCTTAAAGAATTTATAGTGTTAGAATCAACGTAGATGAATCAAAATATCAATTAATTTAGTTTAAGACAAGTATTATATGTATTTATATTAAAGAATTAATTATGAATGCATAATTAATTTTGAGGTGAGATATACGAAGCAATTTTTATAATTTTTTGTTAGATAAAAAGTTATATTAATTTTTACTACTAATATTTTAATTTAAGATATAAAAATAAAAACATAAACTCTATCACTTGAAAATTTCTTTTAATCAAAATTAAAATTTCACAAACTCAATTTTCTAAACTCTTATTTAAATACACACTGCGACCTTTAAATATAATATTGAGAATAATTTTTGATAGAATTAATTTTGTCAATAATATACTGTATGCATTAAATTTCAATAATAAAATTATTTAATTAATTTTTTTATTAAATTGATGAAATCTATAATTTTTTGTAAAATTTAAAAATTATATATTTTATTTTATAAATTAAAGTTAAGGTATTATAAAGTTATAAATATACGACAATTTAAATTAATATAATAAATCATTAATAATTTTTAATTTTTTTAAAAAATATAAATTTCATCTATCTAATAAGAACTTTTAATTAATAATCAAATCGTTAAAATTTATTATAAATCTTAACTTATCTAGTAAATTGTAACTTTACAAAAAGTTACTTTTAAAATAAGTAAATTTCTTAACTCTCTATATATATATATTTACTTTCTTTGATTTGTACCAGAGTGTGATTTATTTTAGGAGAAAGCTCATTAAAATAAAAATTTAATTATTTAGTAATTATGTTAAATTTTATTAGTTGTTTTATTTTACGAGCAAGGAGCATTGATATTTCCCCTCAGATTGAACTTTTTATATTCACAAGAGTTAGGATTCGATCCTTGACTACTTAGTTAAGCGACGATAATCTCTTGCCACTTGTGTCAACTTAAATTGGTTGATCTTAATATTAGTCTACGTCCACAATTAGGAATTAAATACAAAATAATCTTTCTCCATCCACTTTAACTTTGTTGCCATAAAAAAAATATTTTTAGGAAAAAGATCTCTATTTTGTATATTTCTGTGAATCAATAATATTTAAATGAGAAAATAAAGTTAGAGAAAAAATATATTTGAATCACAAAACAATAATATATGTAACATTGTGCTATTTTGATAATTATTATGTTTTATTAATAATTTTGTGTCGTGGTATTTTGGGTTGTTATTGTTGAGAAACTTTGAGAGTTAAGAAATTCTTGCGAGTTTTAGATATTTAAAGGCTTTCTTTTGACATATGTCTAGTTTAGCCTTGATGAGAAGGTATAAAATATTTCTTTTGAGAATGAAGGTTCATAAGTTCATTATCAAGATTCCTAGAGAGATAAACTAGAGAGAGGAACTTTGGAATTTTGTTTTTTTTTTCTTTCTCATTTTTAGCCTTCTCGAGTGTGTAGAAAATCGTGGTTGGGTGTTTGGGTGGTGATTTGAAGCCCTTGGTTGAGGATCATCGTCATGGTGGTGTTGGTGCGGAACTTCGGTGTTAGCTTGGAGGCTTTTCTTCTTCTTCTTTTTCTTTTTCTTCTTCCTTAGTTCACTTCAATCTCAAGGTAAGGGAAGCTAGAGGTTTTTTTGTTGAGTTGTTGAATTGCATGTTGATTTTTTTTCATCAAAAGGTTATCATGATTGGTTAGATTCAGATTGAGTGTTTGAGATTGTTAAGTTTTGGTGCTTTGAGCTTGTCAAGGAAATTTTTTTTTAATGATTTTATCTCAATTATTATTGCATGTTGTTATTTGTTTAGGAAATGAGTTATATGTGATGAATGGATATGTATTGTTGTAATGCAAGTTGGTTTTCCTGAGTTTCAGGTGAAGATTAAGGCAAAATGTGAATATGCTATGTGCATATCTCACCATTGCGTTGGGCATGCCTTCATGGCACTATTCGTGGTTCAAATTAGGGATCCTCTATCTTACTCACGTTAGGCTCAAGATTAGTGGAAACCAACATGAAGAGAAAGAATTGCCTTTGACTTGGTCATGATGATTGTTAAATTAAATGGCTATGAACATGAGAAAAGAGAATCATCTCTGTCACTGGGTGCTAACAAAGTGACGTTGGGCATGAGTCTCTGCTTGAAATGGGTTGGGCTTGGACTTTGCCATGCTAGGTGTGAGACTCCAGGGGTTCTCTACCGCATCCACGTTAGGCATAGGCTGAATGGCGCTAGGTGGTGCAAGACAGAGAACTTCCTGTCTCAATGGCGTCAAACATAAGGTGTATTGCATTGTGCATAGACTTCTTTATGAAAGCTTGTTGTTTGAATGATCAAATGGTGAACTTGAATAGGTTATATGAATCTATTGCATGTTGAATGTTGTTTAATGATGATAGTTTTATATTCATTGATCTGAGATAATTTATATAGATGGATAATTGTTGAACTATTGAGGTGTGATGCTAAGAATATTTTAGGTATTTAGGCATGATATGTTGGTTAATTGTTGAATTGTTGAGGTATTGATGCTTAGAATACTTTAGGTATTTAGCCATGTTATGTTGATTGAATTTGGACCAAAGGAGAGAGTATTTTCGAAACTTGGATATCCCACTGTGAGGATATTGGTGTGGTGCTCTATGAGCCTAGTTATTGAAAACCCTTATTGAGTAGTTAACTTTTGAAGTGTATAGTTGAGTCTCCTCTAAAACTTTAGTTGATGCGATATGTGGGTTAGGTCAAGGCATACCAAATATAACTGACCAATGTTGATCCATATGTGGGAAAGGCCAACACATATATGTATAAAGTGACCAACCAAGTAAGGTACGATTAGGGGTTTAGTCCCTAACTGAGTACTAAAAGGACATAGTATTTGCAAGGTAGTCGATGAGTTAATCCCATAGAGGACTTAGTGTTGTAAACTGATGTTGTGGTGGACTCATACCCAAGTTTTTCTATCATGACAAGAATACTAGATTTCATAGAGTTGTTTGGTCGACAACCTAAGTTATATTTTCAATTACTTTTGGATCACTGTATATACTTATATGTATATAACATATGTTATTATTCCTTTGAGGAACTTTTTAATTTTGG